GAGTTCCCAGACACTATTGTCTCGACTGTCGATTAGTTGTCCTACGGCTATTTTCTGTGATGAACGTCAATCTTGTGACAATTTGAGACAATTAAAGTCCTTGAGAAAAGTATGTCCAGAAAGACTTTCCCTGTGTAAACAGAAAGAATGGCTGCTAGGACTTTTAATATCATCTGCTTGTAGATAATGTAGTGTATTATTATTATTATTATTATTATAATTTTTCATCTTTTTACCTAGTACGTATATTTGCCTAGTATTTATATTCGTCGATCGAGCTATAACAAAAGAGGAGCGACAACAGGTAAACTCCAATTTAAAAAAAAATGTATCAGGTCTGTTGTATTAAATTTTAGCTTTTTTTTAAATTAAATATTTAAAAAAATGTTTGGTCATTATATTAACTTTCTGTTGTATTAAATTTTAGCTTTTTTTTAAAACTAAATATTTAAGAAAATGTTTGGTCATTAAATTAACTTATTTAACTATTTCAGTCATTTTCAGGACATTATTAGGTCCTTATTTAATTATTAGGTCCTTATTTAATTATTAGGTCACTATTAAATTTTGCTCCGCAAAGAAAACTTCTATTCAGAGTTCACTTATTTTTTTTTTGTTTGCAAAAGATGTTGAGGAATTGAACATGCAATGATATTCTGTGCAAACTTCAAAGGCATTATTTAAGCTCTGGCGCTGGGTACTTTTGCACCAACTAATATTTTTTATTTTATTTTATTTTTTGTTTATTTCTTTTTGTCTATTTTGTTATATGTTTTTGTGGCTTTCTCAGATTGCTGAATGTATCTGATTTATCAATGGCGGACCGGGGAAGGGACACATATCAACGGAACCAGGTGCAACCATGCGTGTCGCGTGAGAACAAAAGAAGTAGAGTGTGATAAAAGGTAGAGAATGATGTAGTTATACGCCCTGGACGGCTTACATCTGGTGTCTCATGCATTCATGGAACTCTATTCACTCGACCCCCCCCCACCTAGCTTTCTTTTTAATCGACCCCCCTCTCTCTCTTTCTCTGGCTCCTTTTCTCTTAGGCTCTCTTCCTGTTCTCAAGATCTATCTCTTTATATATATATATATATATATATATATATATATATATAACACACTTTCTCCCCTCTCTACCGCTTTTTCCAAAAGCCCTCTTCCTATTCTTTAGCTCTCTCTCTCTTTTATATATATATATATATATATATATATATATATAGCACACCACTCTCTTTCCCTGTCCTTCTCTTTTTCTCTCAAGCCCTCTCTCTATTCTTTAGCTCTCTCTCTCTCTCTATATATATATATATATATATATATATATATACTCACTCTATATATGGAGAGTGAGTGCTATATATATATATATAGAGAGAGAGAGCCTCTCTCCCACTCTAGCTCTTTTCTCTCAAGCCCTCTTCCTATTCTCTAACTCTCTCTCTCTCTCTCTCTCTCTCTCTATATATATATATATATATATATAGCCCTCTCTTTTCTCCTCTCTAGTTCTTTTTCTCACAAGCCCTCTTTCTATTTTCTATCTCTCTCTCTCTCTCTCTCTCTATATATATATATATATATATATATATAGCACACTCTCTTTCTCACTCTTTAGCTCTTTTTCTCTCAAGCCCTTTTCCTATTTTCTAGCTCTCTCTCTCTCTTTTCTCTCTCTCTCTATATATATATATATATATAAAGCACACTCTCCCTCTCTAACCCCTTTTCTCTCAAGTCCCTCTTCTTTATTCTCTAGCTCTCTCCCCCTCTCTCTCTCTCTCTCTATATATATATATATATATATATATATATATATATACTTTACCTCTCCCTCTCTAACCCCTTTTCTCTCCCTCTTCTTCATCTCTCTCCCTCTCCTCTCTCTCTCTCTCTCTCTCTCTATATATATATATATATATATATATATATATATAGCACACTCTCTCCCTCTCTAACCCCTTTTTCTCAAGTCCTCTTCTTATTCTCGAGCTCTCTCTCCTCTCTCTATCTATCTATATATATATATATATATATATATATATATATCTCAATCTTCTACTGTAGCTCTTATTCTTTCAACCCCTCCTCCTATTCTCTCTCTAGCTCACTTTCTATGCCCTGTCGGCCTGGGTTTCAGAATACGCTGCCTGCAATTCTGCAGAGGGGTAAAACCTCCCACCCAATGAAGCGTCCTGGGTATGATGATAAACTACATCCGGCAGCAAGGCCTCTGATCAGGAAGTTTTGAGGAGCATGGAATCATCTCTTAATTGCTGGTGTTCCCAGGTCCATCATGACCCCGGGTGGTATCAACTGCTAGGGTCCCAACTATGGGCAAATAGTTAACCCCCAAACTGGGGTCAAAACTCAACGAAAGTGTAAAATAATATTGTCAGCAATAAAAATCTTGTCGGTATTAGATACCCCATGGTTGTTTCGATACGCCGTAGAGGAAAAGAAAACAAACAGCTTACTTCCTCTTTATATTTTTCTTGCTTTCTCTATGCAATCCCCTTTCTGCTCTCCTCTCTTTCTCGCCCTCCCTCGCTTTCTCTCCCACCCCGTCCAATGCATCTTTGTTTTTAGCTGTAATCCACTTTTTGAAGGTAGCTACTTTTCTTACACCATGTCGGCTGGAGCTTCAGAATACGCCAACTTTACCTCTGCAGGGGGCTAAAACTCCCCACCTCAATGAGGTGTTCTAGGTATGAAGATAAACTACATCCATCAGCAAGGCATCTGATCAGGAGGTTTTGAGGCTGGTGGGTCCCCCTTTTAATTGCTGCTATTCCCAACGCCAACCTGTCTGGGGATGGCAACACCTCCTAGAGTCCTAGCTATGGGCAAAGAGTTGACCCCTAAACTGGAGTCAAAACACTATGAAAGTGTAAAAATAGGCTTTAATACTAGCAATACATTTTTTTGTAAAAGATCATTACCAACAATGAATTTTTGAAGAAAAAAATATTACCAGCAATATATTTTTGGGAAAAAATATTACCAGCAATAAAAATCTTGTCGGCATTAAGCAACCCACTGAGGTGTTGATATGCCGTAAAACAAACCAAACCAATCTATTTAAACTACATCCGACAGCAAGGCATCTAATCAAGAGGTTTTGAAGCTCGTAGAACCACTTCTTAATTGCTGATGTTCCCAGGTCTACCCTGATCCGGAGTGGTAGCACCTGTTAGGGTCCCAAATATGAGCAAATAGTTAATCACAAACTGGTGTCAGTTGGGCATCCACTGTGAGAAAAAGAGCACCATGACGCCAGAAATTTGGAAACTGCATGGTGTACTGTTTGGCAATCGCACCGGAAGCTCCAATACGAACATTTCGGAGTGTTTGGGTGTTAATCTGAAGACAGTGCAGAGGATTCAGAAAGAGTTGGATGAGTCTAATGGTGATTACGAATGTATGGCAGCTGGGAAAACTCACTCTGATCATTCAGATAAAAGAACTCCCGAATTTGTTGGTGAGAGTTTAGACTCAACCTGGAGGAGGTAGTGCTGCCCTGGATTAAGAGGGAAGACCCTATGTCTGGCGACAGGACTCTGCTCCATGCTACACAAGCAGGAGAACCTAGTCATGGCTGGCAGAAAATTTCTGCGACCACATCACCCCTTACATCTGGTCACCTTAATCCCCAAACTGCAACCTCCTTGATCAGTATGTGTGGGGTGCAGTTGAGCAAGAGAGAAACAAAACTCCTTGTAACACCAATGATGAACTGAAGGCAAGGATTATGGCAGCATTCACTAACTTAAACAAGGAGGTTGTCCAGAAGAGTTGCAGGAGATTCTGACGTAGTCTAGAGGCCGTGGTTGAAGCCAGTTGTGGTTTTATTGAATAAAATTAGTCTTTACTATTCCAAGATATTTTTGTGTAATTTTAGTAAATATCTGTTAAAATGAGATGTCAGTGTTATTTTCATTTTTTTTTTTTGCATCATTTCTACGACAATTTACCCATCGCACCCTGTATTTCTGTTAAAATGAGATGTCAGTGCTATTTTCATGTATGAGTCGTTTAGACGACAATCTATCCATCGCACGTTGTAGATATGCTAAAATCAATTTGTATGTCATTTAGACGCCGATTTATCCATCGCACCCTGTATATAGCTCTTTCACTCCTATCTTTCAATATGGCTTCCTCTCTTTCACTCGCCATAAACTTCTCTCTCCCTATCTCCTTATAGCTCTTTTTTCTCTCTTTCTATTCTCTATTCTATTCACTGTCTCTCTCTCACATCTCTCTCTCTTTCTAGTTATCACTCTTTCCCGATATATTTTCTCTCTTTCTCATTTTCTCTTTTCTCTGTTATGTCGTTCTCTTTGATTTTCACTCAACAAATTTTGTTTTTTTTAAGCCTATCAGAGATTGAGGTGGTGGGAGATGGATTTATTGATTTGTTTTTCACGGCTTAACAACCTTCTGTAGATGTTTTAAAGTCATATTTTTTTTTTCAAATTGTAAGAATTTTTCGGAGATGATGATGACTTATTTATAGAAGTCCTACTATTTAATCCATATCTGGGGGAAAGAAGAGATAGATTCATACCTTTACCAAACATAAATATAAGGAACCCGATTGAGATTTAGGATTTCTTCCTCACCGATGCAGCCCAATGTTACATAAACATAACAATCTCTCGGCACAAGTGAAAACTGTCCAACCTAACACCTTCTTTATTTATATGATTGACTCATTCATTTTTTAGGGGTTATCTACCTTTTACAGGTTATTTTAAGCCAGAAAATATTTTTAGACTGTAAAAGTTTTTTTTTTTTTGGTGGCGAATAATAATAATTCAATGTTACAAGTCTGACTAATTAATCCATAGCTGGGGGAAGAAATGGTGGATTCATATCACTCCCAAGGTTAATTATGCGCAATTGAATATAACAAACCCAACCTGGAATTGGAACTCGGCTCTCCGATTAACAACTGCGATGCATTCTCTATTACATCACCCTTACATCCAAATTTACAGCACCAGGTCATCGCAAGCGGTCACCCATCTAGGTATTGACGAGGCTCAACATTGCTTAACTTCAGTGATCGTACGGGAACCGGTCTTTCAATGTAAGCAAAAAGAACTAGAAGCCCAACCTAGATTTGTTAACGCTTTATATAATCGTTTTATTTTTTTTCTATAATTTGCCCTCAAGCACAGGTGAAAACTGTCCAACCTAACACCTTTTTTATTTATATGATTGACTCATTCGTTTTTTACAGGTTATCAACCTTTTACAGGTTATTTAAAGCCAGAAAATATTTTTAGATTTTAAGATTATTTTTTTTTTTTTTTTTTTGTGAGATAATAATGGTTAAGTGACACAAGTCTTAGTAATTACCCTGGAGGAGAAGAGATGGACTCATGACTAATCAGAATTTGAAAAACACGAAATATGTGGATATAAAGTAAGGGATCAAAACTATGTTACAATTATTATATAAACTGATCCCTCACTTGGTGACCACTATAGTTTCTACACATTTATATTACAGAGAATGTAAAGAAATGTAAAAGACATGCCTGTATCAGTATTTCTTTGAATGATTCGTTTTTTACGGCTTATCAACCTTTTACAGATTATTTAAAGTCAGAAAATATTTGCAGATTGTAAGAATTTTTTTTTTTTTGAGATAATAATAGTTTAGTGATACAAGTTTTAGTAATTACCCTAGAGGAGAAGAGATTGGCTCATACCTAATCGGAATTTGAAAAGCACGAAAGTATGTGGATATAAAGTAGTACTCATTTATATTCCAGAGAATGTAAATAAATGCAAAAAGACAGTGTCAGTATTTCTTTGATTGATTCGTTTTTTTCGGATTTTCAAACTTTTTACAGGTTATTTAACTCCGTAAATTATTTTAGATTGTAAGAATTTTCTCTTTATATAATAATGGTTACTTATTAATAACCATTACTAATTAATCCATAGCTGGGGGAAGAGTTGGATTCCTAACTCACCCAAGGTTATTTGCGCATAAGGAAATATAACGAAATTAACAGGAATTGTAACTCGATCTCTTATCCGCTACACCTCCCACACATCGAAGCTTACAGCACCTTATTACCGATAATTATAATAAAGATACATTCATTTGTTTTTAAGCAAATAGTTATCGAATTTTGATACAAGATGAGGTTGTAAAAAGTTATATTCCTAATGTAAATACATCGATTTCTCCTGATTTCTCGAATTTTCGTTAGCACCTCAGATAAATTGATATGTGTGGCCACATGAAAGTGAAAGATTTATAAATATACAATTAATAACCAACTTTCTAGACGAACATTAAATATATCCAAAATCATGATCATCAGTTTCATTACCAATTGTGGTTGTAGGGTCGCTGTGGCGTTAACCACATGACCAATTCCCGCCAACTATCTGTCGGTAAAATGTCCGTCGGTAAAATGTCTGTCGGTAAAATGTCCGTCGGTAAGATGTTCGTCGGCAATTCATCTCGTGATTCTTGACAAAATCCAAAGAAGCAAATACTTACATAATCCATACCTACAGATATAACCCTACCTCCTTGTGCAAATTAAATAAAACAAACGCTTTAGCTTCTTTTCTTTCACTATACGGTCAATTTTATATCCACTGGAGTGACAGCATATTCTTATTTTTTTTTACCTCCGATTAGGTCATTTGCAGAGGTGTGCAGAAATATGAATCTCTTTTCGCGGTGTAATCAATCCGGATTTGGCATGTCGACTTCAGTCACTTTCTCACCGGCGTGGCGTGGCTTCCCTCTGTCTTTTCTACAAATATTTTCATAGCAACTGCTCTGACGAGCTTTTATGAGTTTAAGCGTGCTACTAGATTGGCATTTAGGTCCCACCCCGATTACTGTCGATATATCTACAGGCAACCGCCACTTCTACTTCAATAGTTTATTTTCTCGAAATTCCAACCCGTGGAACTGTCTACCGTTTACTTGCTTACCTGACAGCTATAATTAAAAAAAAAGACTTTAAATGCAACATCAATCATCATCTTCTGTCTTCTTGAATCCCGTTCATCTTTTGTCTTTTCCTCAAGCATTCCTATTCTTAGTCTTCTCTTTCACTCCCTGTGTACTAGTGACATTTATGCCTTGCTTGGGGTGAAATGATTCCGAAAATGGTATGCTCTGACCATGGCAATCCATATTATTCTCAGAATCCGTCTATTGAACGAGATCTTTGTTGCATCGTCACGTGCTTATTTGTGCGAAAAATGTCCAGCAATCACTGCTATATATGAGAACTTTTCTTCTTGTCTTGTCTTGTCTTGTAACGGCATTCACCCGGGGTGGATTGAGCCGGCTCCAATATTGGAGTTTCATGGGAATTTGGAATTCACAAGCGGTCCCCAAACCCGCATGTATAGCACATGAGATTTGATTATAGTGGTGAAGGTTTTGTGCAGGACCATCCACACTTTTTGAAGGGCCGAATACAGAGACCTGGTGAACTACGTGCCACAAGGTCCCCAAACGACCCTCCGCAGGTTTTGAATTCAGAGTTTTCCTTCTCCTAGAAGCCACCCAAGGCTATAGAACCTAGTCTGTCCTGCTATTTAGCCATAGCTGGAAGGAGAAGAAGAAGATTCACACCTTTCCCAAGGATATTATCACGTAAGTGAATGTAATGGATTCGACTGGAATTCGAACTCGGCTCTCCGATTCCTCAATCCAAGCCGCTATTCATTACTCCACCGTGCCTCCTCATATTTGAGAAGTGATGCAACATAAGTGGTCTCTCTTTTCTTTGTTTCTAAATTTCCCATGTTTCTTAATACTTTGCTGAGTTTATAGAAGGCATCGTTTCCTCTTACAGCGCGCCTTCGGTGTCATATTTTCCTACTTCTGTTAAATAAGTTTCCCAGATATTTAAATTCGAGTACTTATTTGATTTTGACATCTTCAATTCGTAGCTAGCCTTGTGGGCTGTTCCTCTTGTTGACATCCATAGATTCTGTCTTCCTGCAAAAGTGAAGATAGAGATCTTATAAAGGCCCGTGTGTTTGTATATGTTAAGTAATTGACAGCGAAGAAAGCTTTTCGTGAAGGGACAGATGATTTGGTAAATGTGTTGAAAAGTATGGCAGGAAGGAAGGAAGAAGGAAGGAAGAATGGGGAAATCGAGAAAGCAATGATAAAGGAAAGAAAGAAAGCAGAGAAGTAGTGATATAAGAAATGGGGAAGAAAGGAAAGAAGAAAAAGAAAGAATTGAGAGATAAAGCAAGGGAGAAAAGAGAGAAGGCATTTAGGAAAATGGCGAAAGGAATAAGAAAAGAAAGAAAAAAGAATATAGAAAGGTGGGGAAAAGACGGTGAGGTAGAAGAAAACAGAAATGAAAGAAAAGGAAAGTAAAAAGCAAAAGACAGGGAAAAGGAAAAAAGACATATTGAAACTGGAAGACATATTGAAACTGGAAGACATATTGAAACAAGGAAGCCATATTGAAACAAGGACATATTGAAAAAAGGAAGGAAGGAAGGAAGGAAGGAAGGAAGGAAGGGAGGAAGAGAATACAGAAGAAAGGAATTGGAGAAATAAGAAAGAGAAAGAGAAAAGGAAGACATTGAAAAATGAAGGAAGGAAAATAAAGAAGAGAAAAGAAAGAAGGAAACGAAAGAGGTAGAATTGTAGAGAGAAAGAAAGGAATGAGGAGGGAATTAAGAAAAAAAGAAAAGAACAACTTAAAAAGCAATGGTGGAAGGAAAGAAAGTAGAAAGAAGAAAAAATGTAAAAGAGTTAATAAATGAAGGAAAAGAAAGAATAAATGAAGGAAAAGAAAGAATAAAAGAAATATAATGAAAGAAAAGAAAAAAATCAAAAAAGAAAGGAGGAAAAAATAAATAAGCAAGGAAAAAATGGAAGAAAATATAAATGAAAGAAAGAGATAAAAAGAAAGGAATGGCGAAAAAAAAAGAAAAGGTAAAAAAAGAGGGAATGAAGGAAAAGATAAGTGAAGGGGAGAAAGAAAATCAACAAAGGAAGGAAGGAAATAAGGAAAGTAAGAAACGAAGGAAAGGAAGGAAGGAAGGAAGGAAGGAAGGAAGGAAGGAAGGAAGGAAGGAAGGAAGGAAAAGGAAGGAAGGAAAGGAGGGAGAAAGGAAGGAAATAAGGAAAGTAAGAAACGACATAGGAATAAAGGAAGGAAGGAAGGAAGGAAGGAAGGAAGGAAGGAAGGAAGGAAGGAAGGAAGGAGGGAGGGGGAGGGAGAAAGGAAGGAAATAAGGAAAGTAAGAAACGACATAGAATAAAGGAAGGAAGGAAGGAAGGAAGGAAGGAAGGAAGGAAGGAAGGGAAAGGAAGGAAGGAAGGAAGGAAGGAAGGAAAAGGAAGGAAGGAAGGAAGGAAGGAAGGAAGGAAGGAAGGAAGAAAAAAGGAAGGAAAGGAGGGAGGAAGGAAGAAAGAATAAGAAAAGAAATTTGAAACGAAGAGTCAAAAAGATCGAGAAGGAGGAAAGATAAAGGGAAGAATGGGAGAAGTGAGGAAAAAAAAGAAAGAAAGAAAGAAAGAAAGAACGAAATAAAGAAAGAAAGGGAAAAGAAAGAAAGAAAGAATGAAAAAAGAAAGAAAGAAAGAATGAAAAAAAGAAAGAGAGAAAGAATGAAAAAAGAAAAACAGAAAAAGAAAGAAAAGTTTTTTGCTTTCCAGTCAATTTTGATCTTCAAGAAATTAAATACAATGTCAATCGTTGTCGTCTGTCTTCATAATTCCTGTTCTTTTATTGTTCTTTCTCCTTAATATTATTGTTCTTTTTCATAAATTTTCTCATTCAGTAACCACTTGCGTCTTAGCGGCTTTGTTGCCTTGCTTGAAGGGAAATGATTAAAAAAAAGATAATAGTGTATGCAACCTAAAACCACTCATTTTCATTGATTGGCCGATTTGGTTTCTTTTACAACTTGTCAAACATTTAAAGGTTATTTAAACTCAGAAAATATTTTAGGTGATCAGATTATTTTTTGAGATAATAATGATATTTACTGAGATAAATTCTACTAATCAACCCATAGCTGTCGCCAGAAGAATTAGATGTATATCTTTACCCTGGGGTATTTCCGCGTAACGAACTCAACTGGAATTGAAACTCGGCTCTCCGATTTCAAATTCCGAGCCGTTATCCATTACACCATCCGCACACGCAAGCTTACAGCACCTGGTATTCCCAAGCGGTCACCCATTTAACTACAAATCAGGCTCGAGTTTGCTTAACTTCGGATATCGTACGAGAAACAGTGTTTAAACCTGATATGGCCGTAAGCCAAGTGAGGAAAGAAGCGAGAGAAAAATAAAGAAAAAAGAAAGGCGTGTTGAAGAAAGAGAGAAAAAGAAATAAAACAT